TCATCTGGTAAGGTACTCCACACTCTCCACCAGAATCAGTACCTTCATAATAAGAACTAGAAAAATAAAAAAATTAAAGTCACAAATTAGTTACATTTAATTACCCAGAGTGTGGGTAGTCTCTTTCATGATTGCCACCACACACCATGTAAGGGACTCGAGATGATATCGGCTGAATGAGATCAAAGAACTCATCCCACTAGAATAACAGAGAGAGAGAGAGAGAGGAATTAAAAGATTAAGAGAATGATGAAGCAAAAAAGAGAGCAGAGAAAGGGCAGAAACGAGCAAAAGCCGAAAGAGAAATAAAAATTTATAATTATGATAATCTTACCACTCCAGCATAGCCCCTTGCATAGCTAATGTCTCCAATGTGAAGTACTAGGTCTCTCTCATTCACTTCCTTTGCCATGAGGTTAGTGTTGTTGATAGCTGGAGGCTGTGCATGAATTGGTTGGAGTGTGTCATCCACCTGAGCTTCACCCATATCTAAAAATAGAATAATAATAATAAAATATGTAAAAGTGATTTTTGATAAAATTTGGTCAAACTCAAATACATTGTACATGGTCTTTTGGAGCAACTTTAAAAATTGGTAAAAATTCAAATTTGATCAAATCAGAAAGGCCATTAAGTATTAGAACTAATTAGCTCTCAAATCTTATACAGTGGAATGGACTTACCTCCAAAGGCAATGAAGGTGATGCTAGCATTAGGTGAAGGGGCAGGAGGCATACGAAATGAGAACACTTGACTCCACTCAGGATCATCACCAAACTGATAGTTATACTCTTGACCAGGTGTTAATCTAGGTACATGCAATAATAATAATAATAATAATAATGGGTATTATAAATATCAATAAATTAATAGGTATCAGAAAGATGCTTTTAGAGTCAAATTTTTGAAAATATCATTAACTATTGTCCATGTTTTTTTTTCTAAAATTGACTTGAAATTGCATCCAGCTCTTTATGGGAAATGTGGAAGTAAAAGTACAAATAACAAAAGATGCTTAAATTTTGCACATTTTCAAACAACCAATGCCCATCCTCCATTGCTTGTCTATATCATTCCCCCCTCTCTCTCCTTACCCTGACAGTTTAGCAGTATGAAGCATTCCTGGGTCAATATATCCTACAGTAGTAGCTGGAGGCCCACACATGTCCTTGCTAGTGTATTTATTCGAAGTAGCTGCCTGAGTCCTTATATTAGTTGTCGTATTTTGCCAAAACTTGACTTTTGGCTCTTTAGAATCTCTAGTGTTCCATGTCAATCTGAAGGAATAAAGAATTAAGGTGATAATGTAATGGCAGACATACAATAGGGTAGTTGGGTCATTGGTTAGTGCTAGATGAGGCTGGAGTGGCTCATTGGGACTGGAGAATGTGACCTGCTTAGATGTAGCAACGAGAGAAGGAGCATCAAAACCTATAATAAAGAAAAAGGGAATGTGACAAACATAAAGATTTATTTAAAAGTATTGTTTTTGACACCCTTTTACACTTCAAGGGTAAAATTAAAACAATATTATCCTTGCCATTAATACTTAAGGTGCTTATATTCAGAGGTAGTCTGTGTCTAGACTAATTCAGAGGCTGCACTCACCTCCTGTTAGTAATGCAAACACGTAAGGAGTCCTCACATTGACCAGACGAATCTTAAAAGAACCTTTACCAGAAGACAAATAAGTGGAAGATTCCTTACAATACTAAAAGAGAGAGAGGGAGAGAGGAAAGGGGGAGAGACAAAAGATAAAGTGAAAAAATTCAAGAATTGAAACCCATACTTGATATTTGACTGGTGCAATTTTAGATGGGTCGATGGACTCCTCTCCATTTGGTGGAGCATACACACCAATCCAGTCAGTATCTGCTGGATGAGATACACCATCCCAAGCAACTGTAACCCAATCCCCTGATTTATTCAACTGATTGGGAGTGACAGTGATAACCACACTGGGATCTAGAAATATATTATGTAATAGAGCATCTATGGTGTAACACAGCCACTTTAAATACAGCAAGTCTAGCTGCAAATGGAAAATACTCTAAGTCTACTATGCTACAGCTGTACAGTACACGTGTTCCTCTCCCTGTATCTGCCTACCTGTGTTCACAACAGCTTCCTCATACTTGAGAAAGTCAAAAGGACTCAAGTATTGGTGACAAAATCCAACAGAGACTAAGAGAAGTAACGACAGCCAGCGAATCATTTTAGATTTACTTTGACCCACTAATGAGTAATGAATAAATAACTATTAATAAACTAGCTCTACATAATGAATAATGAATACAATCTTGGTGAAGTTTGGTCAGGTAGTTTGGTGATTTTTGCATGCTAGTCTATTTAATAATGGTCTTATTTTTATGATATTTTGATCTCTTGAGTCTATCATTAAGAAGCAACGAATGAGCTCTTTCTATCTCCTTGCTTAACTGTGTGTCAATCAAATCCCCATCATCATCATCATCATTGTCAGAGAACATAATCTCAACTTCTGACGATCCTAAAGCTTTTGAATGAGTCTTAGCACTAGCAATGCTAGCAATACTAGTATTAGGAGCAGTAGTATTAGAAGTGGTATGGGGTATTTTGGTTTCAGCTACTTGAGCTTTAGAATGAGCCTCAGTCAATGCATTAGAACCAGGAGCAGTCACAGTATCTGTAGCAGTTAAACTCTTAGATAACGTTGGAAAATTATTCATCAATGATGTCTTTATTTCAGAAGCAAGGCCAACAGAGGATACAGCTTTACTATCACTAGTAGCTTTATTAGGTGTCAAAGTCAATGAGTGTGAAGCAATTTTCTGAATCATAATATTATCTTCTGTTACATCAGAAGGAGTGCTGGTTGCCATAGGAGCTGGGCTAACATCAATGACCTTTACCTCTCCAAGTTCAACCTCATTTCCCTTAACATTTTCATCAGACTCAATTGTATCCACTACTACAGTTTCCTTCATCAAAGCCTCTGGACTGAGTTCTATAAACTTTGCTGTTGCAGCCTCAATGATTTGATCCATTGTGTCTTGTACCTGAGCTTCAACAGATGCAATGGTGGGAGTCTCTGACTCTCCATATTCACTGCTGCTTGACTTGAGTCTTTTCAGTGGAGGGGATTCAAGAAGATCCTGTGACAATGGCAATCTCTTATGAAGAACGGCACCTTCTTCTAAAGCTAAATCACACTGAACCTGGAAGCAACATTAAAACTGAAAAATTTATTAAACTAATACCTCTTTGTCACATTTATTCTCTCCATTATACTTCATCTTAAGCTCATCTCTTTCCTTCTCTATGCATAAATACTTTTCTCTTATAATCTCAATCTCTTCCTTTGCAGCATTTAACTATAATAATAATATCATCATGTACATATATAACACATACTAGATTTACTAGAACATAATAGCCTCACCTGTTTCTTTGTATCATCAAGGATGCATTCATTTTCAGTTTTCCTGCTAATAAGATGTTTCTTCTCTGATTCTAATTCCTCATTACTCAACTGCAAGCTGGCATAGTCTCCCTGTAGTGTACTCAAACGCTGCCTTAAATCAGATAACTAATAAAAAAGATAATAAGACAATATTTTAAAATACCAATTAACCTCTTTCTTGTGTTGATTAGATTCGGCTATTAAGTTTTGCTTGTCCTTGCCAGACTCCTCTTCCAATGCAGCTAACTGTCCCTTTAATTCCTTAACTTCATTGGATAACCCACTCACTCTTTCTTTCAGTGACAACTATATAAAGAGTATTATCTTTAATAATAATACATTGATTCTCTTTACTTCACGAATTGACGATTCCTTTGCAGTATCAATGTGCTTATCAATGAGAGTGTGAGCCTCTTTCAATGACTTCAATACAGTGCAGTATTCAACTCGAACATCAGAGAGCTGCTCCTGTAGCTGATGTGTCACCTCTCTCTCCTACAAAACAGTATGCATGCATAATACATGTACATATAATATGTACATGTACATGTGTATAAACACACAATTGAATTAGCTGAATCAATACATATGCATGAAGCCTTGTACAATACACATGCAGTATAGTTACCACTCTCAGTTGCTGATCAATGTTTGTGGGTTTCTTCATTTCTATACCCACCTCTTCTGCTTTTAGTTTAGCCTAAAAATTAATAGATCAACAAGACATTACTTTATTATGCTTACTTTAAGTTTGATGCAGTCTTTCTGGTAAGTATCCAATTCTTCCTTATATGAGTCAACAACACATTGCTGATGGTCATTAGCAGTTGCTAGTCTGCCATTTAACTCTACTGCCTCCCTCACTTCAAGGATATAAGTAATATCATATATCAGTAAATATTATCAGTATAGTATACCATTTGATTCTAATGTCTCCAGTAGTTTAGTGACTTCGTTTACTTTTGCCTCCATATCAACACACTGCTGTTCCATTTGACTCAATTGACTGTGATAATTCTCTTGTGAGACATTTAATACTTGAAGTGTATACTCCTATGTACATGTGTGTGTGATGTACATGTACATGTATATATGTGTATTAATGTCAAATAGTTATACACTAACTTGCTCACTGAGCTTCTTTTCTAAATTATACTTGATCATCTATAATAGATTGCATATACTATCTCTTTTTCAATTCCACTTACATGTAAAGCTCTTATTTCATCTTTCAGTGCTTGGAATTCCTTTTCCTTTCCTTCAAAGAGGCACTTTAGTTTAACCTTATGAGCATAAATGTATACATACATGACTTGAATCTAACTATGAAATTCATCATAAACTCAAAAACTAAATTCATCACTGCACAATATCTCAATACTTACATGCATTGTACTACAAATTTAATAATGATTCTGATCCAAAAATTATTTACTTTCTCCTCCTCAAGCTGTTTCAACTGTTCATTGCATTTCCTCTCAGTCTCCTCCTCCAAGTGAGAGTGAGATTCCAACACTTCATTCAACTGCTGAGTTTGTTTCTCCTACAAGCCAAATTGACATAACATACAATAAAACACTAGTGCATATAGTGTTGAGATAGTGTGTTAGATAAACATGCTCTGGCTTGTGAATTACTATACTTGAGCCATAAAAGGGAATGGGTCAGTTGCTTAAAGTTAATTCATAGCAGCATCGATGTCTATGTGATGAATATTCTTAAAGGGTGTGTTTGTTAAGAAGAGGCAATGGCACTTGTAATACTCCTTCTGTTTGCCTTCTTTGTCAATGAGGCTCAGGCTAAATGCAGTCAATCTGCCAGTCTAAGTGTATTCCTACTACAGTCAAACTCTCCTATTGAAGCAGATGAGATCAATAACTTAACAGACATAAGGAATGGCTTGGGGTATGAAGAGGATGAGTCCTGCTGTCTTTATTATGTGGAAGATAATGAAGGGAACGATGTGAATGTAACAGCTTGTAAAGACACTGAAATTGACAATGCTCTGGATGCTATCAATACCACTGAATACTATTATCATGTACTGGTACTGGGTAAAGAAGGAACCTCTTTAAACTACACACTTCACAAGACAAGGAACATTAATAGATACCTCGAAATTGATTATTATTATTACAAAGCATCAATCACATTAATTGGTAGAGGTAGTCCAACGATAAAGTTTTCAGGGATTTCTTTTAATTTTATCAATACAGTCAACATCAATAATGTGACTTTCATTGAGGGAATGATCAAACTACTAGATATTCAAAACATTCGACTTACATCTGTGACTATTCGTAACTCACCATCAAGTGGGCTTCTAATAACAAAGAATATACCACTTGTCTATGAATCTATAGTCACTATTTCCAGCTGTAACTTTACCAACAACAACCTCAACACCACTAACTCTC